CCAAAGTGCAGGGTAAAGCCCTTTCATCAGCGAGTTTACAGTCCGGCCACTGGAAACGGGCAGCAGCTCCTGGCGTGCGGCATCGGGAACACCCCGAGTGCTTCCGAGGCACCGACAGCCCGCCATGGGCCGGCTCCTGTCGGGATAGAGCCGTCAGGTCAACCGGCTGGGCGGGCGGGGATAGCAGGCTCAAAACCGCCTCTCGTCCATATGACAACGGCGATAAGTCGCGATACGTGGCTTGTAGCACGCCGCAATTTTGAACGAAGGGTGAAAAGGAACGCAGGGGCCAGGCCGAGTTCACCGCCGTGACAGATTATAGCGGGGCAGGCGATCTGTTGGGGACGGGGGTATTCAAAACGCTGGGCTTACAATAAGCGGTGTGACAACGGGTTGCGCACTGGGGAGAGTTTAAAACGCCTGTGCGTGGACGTGTATGTGCGCACATCCTGCGCCCTTCCAAACCCCCCTCGGAAGCCCCAGTGGGTTAAATATATCTAAGTAGGGGTCTTAAGGCTCCCTTGTGTCTTTCTCCAGGATGGGTCAGCTCAGTTCTCAGTCTGCGCACCCCGAGGCTACAGCCGGGCCCTGCCCGAAGCCACTGCCGACGGCAGGGCCGCCGGGCTGGAGGGGGTTCCCCGATGGCCAGCAGGGGGCGCTGCCGCCCCGCGGATGCGCTCCGAGACCCGCGCCCGCGGCTGCCGCCACCGCGCCCCGCGCAGCGGAAGGGGAACGGGACGGGACGGGGCAAGTGCGGGGCAGGGGATGCTCGTCGGGGCCGTCCCGGCGAGGTGCGCGCCCGCAACGCAGCTCCGGTGTTTTCTCCAGCTTCCTCCGCACATGTTGACGTTCAAAGCGAGCCAGAGTCTGGCACGGATGGGTGCGGATCACGGCTTCGTGTGTAAACCCAGGGGTTTGCTCTTTTTCCCCCCACGTCCCGCGTTAGTAACGTCATTTCGGAACCGCAAATCAAACCTTGCAGAAGTGAAAATAGGTGCGGAAAACAAAGCCGGGGATGCCTGCGGTTCTTGAGTTACAGGCCGGGTTTATGCAGCGCCGAACGCAGGGAACCGGCCACGGGTGCGCGGCCAGGTGGGAGGGAGAGGGGGGTCGGAAGAGGGGGACAACGATGCTCTGAATTAGCATCGAAAAGATAAAACCAAAGATACGGTCCCGGGTTGCTCCGGTGGCCGGTAGGAGGAAACCCGGGCAGCGGGCCCGTTTCCCGCGGCCACTGCAGACCCAGCTCGCCGGTGTTATGGGCCCTCGATGGCAGCACCAGCGCTGGCCCAGTTTAGCAGGGATGAAATAGGGGGAGTGAGGATTTCAGGGCTGCTGGAAACACCCCGTGTGTGCGCCCCATTAGTGAGCCCTGGCTGCGTGAAGAGCGAAGCCCTATACACGGGGTTCTTCGTGCTAGAGGAACCAGGGCCGGCACCGACAATGCCTTGGATGAAATCCACTTGCGGCGGAGGCCCCGGGGTGCCCGACGGGGCAGGATCGAGGTCTCTCTCGGGTGCCTGCAGCCCGGCCTGGCTCTGGGGCCCCCGGCTCGGCTCGTCTCAGCTCCTCTCTTCGCGGCCCGGGCTCCTGTCCCTCCCTCCAAGCACTGCGCTGCTGTGAAGGGCTCGCAGCACGCCTAGACACACTGACTGGGATTTAGGACGTCTAGAAAGGAATTAAATTAGGGGTTTAACCCTCTCCTCTAATTCACGCAGTCCTCCTCCAGACACGAGCTGCCTGGGCCACCTCTCCTCCCCTCTGTGGGCACGGATCCCTAGGGCTGGGAAGAGAAGGGGAAGACCGATCTCGCCTGGAAAAGAAAGTTAAGGGGAGGCTGAAACTTCCCTCACCACTATCCCCCCTCCCGTGAAAGTTCATCCTGGATCAGCCCGTAAATCACCGTCTTACCCCGAGGTCTCCCGCATCTGAGACCTTCCTCGCATTCTCTTCTTGGCTCGGCTTTTAAAAGATGAGTATTAGTTTGGAAATCCGGAGCTAGTGCCTTTGAGGCCAGCCATGTAATTTGACTGCGAATGTAGCGCACCCCTCCCTCCGCGCGAAGCTGCATCGAAGTGCGCTTGGAGCAGATCGGGGATTGCTGGGAAGGGAGCCCCTGCCAGAGTTTTCTCCTTGTAGACGCCAAGAGGACAGCGAGAGCAGCCTGTCAAGACGCCGGGTTGGAAAAGTTCAAGACAGGAGCTTCGGGAGATGCTCCCTGGGCAGCCCGGGCTGGAGCGCAGCGGCCCCGGCAGAGCGGGCACCGGCTCCGGTGGGCTGCCCAAGGACACGGATGGGAGCGAGACAGAGAAATTCAAAGTGAAGCGGAAAATCCTGGGAAATCCCATCCCGAGCCCCCTTGGTTTTTGTTCTGTCCCCGGCCTGTTTTCTCCTTGACAAAACCCAGAGAGAGCTGGTGCTCCCCAGGCTCTGCTTGCGGTTTCTCTGTCTGTGTCCACGCACGCACACACATTTATATATAGATATATATATACACACATAGATACATATATGCACGTAGCGCAGAGAGCAAGCAGAGCTCGATGCGGAGAATTCCAGGTTGCTGCGGCCGAGATCACTCGCTTTCCCCGGCGAAACCCGGCTTGGGCAGGGGGGAGCTCCCTGTTGCAGCCGCAGCTTCCAAAGCTGAGCTCGGGAGCAATGGGACCCCCCTTCGGGAAGGGCTACAGGGTATTTCCCGGGCAGGAAAGAGGGGTCAAGGGAAATTTATCGAGAGGGGTTTTGGCTGTTTTTTTTGGTTTTGGAGGGTTATCCCTGCTCTTGCGTGTGTGACGGGTTTTTTCTTCACACGGATATAATTCTTTCCCTCCCCAACTGCGAAATTACTCGATGCAGTTTTCAAAGGAACCCTGTGATTATGTCAGGATGTCTGGAGATAGGAAAAAAAAAAGGCGGGGGGGGGGGGGGGGAAGAAGGAGTTGAAGTTTTTCCAATTCATATTCATCCTGCAGTCCCGGAGCAGTGTAAATACGCAGATGCAGAGCACGGCTCTTCCTAGAAGTTTATCCTTTTTTTTTATCTTATAGTTCCCCCCCCTCCTCTTTTCAGTGATCAGGAACTACGATCGCGGTCGAAATCAGCACATCAAATACCGGTCGTATTTAGGGCGCTTTCTCATCCTGGCTCAGGGCAATAGCCCCAAATGTGTGCGAGAAGAGAGTTACAGCCTGCTGGGGGGGAAGAAGTTACACAGAAAAGGGGAGAGGGAACTTTTTAGGTCAAAATACTGTCAGTTCACAAGGAAATCCACCTCTCCCCTCCGCAGCAAGCCCAGCGCAGGGGGCCGAAGCCCGTGTGTCTGAGGCAGAGGAGCTTTTCCCAAACGGGTGAGACCTGGAGAAGGGCACCTCAGTGCAAAACGTGTCGGAAGACTTGAGTTACGCCGTCCAAACATCCCTCTCACTTTGTCCCTGCAATCGTACGCACGTGTGGGGATGGGTGTCCATCCGGACAGCCGCCCAGCGCCTGGAGAACACATTTCCATTTCACACCGAGAGACGACTTCTCCCTTGCACGAAGTGCTCTCAGCGCCGGGGGCACAAAGGAAAACACGTCCACAGAGCAAGGCGGGCAGACCCCGGCATCCCTGCTTGCCCAGCACTGCTTTGCCACTTATATTTACCCCGTCGATTTGATATTGCGTTAAAAACACCAGGTTAGCTGCAAACAGGCGCTTTTCGGAGCGAGGGAAGGCGAGCTCACCTCGCCCTTTACTGCAAAGAAGCGAGGACCGCTTGGACACCGATTTGTTTATCATACTTTAATGCAGAGGAGTAACGGATTCTTTGTGTATAAAGTGGAAAGAAAACAGAAAAACAGTGTCCGGGAACGAAGGAACGAAACGCTAGATTGGTTTTAAGACTTCCCCTATCCTTTGGTTCAACAGAAACATTAATTTACATTAGCAATTCCGCATCTTTAAGATAAATTACACAGCGTCGTAATAGATTTAAAGTACGCCAGATTTTTTATCATTAATTGTAAATGTGCAAAATACCTGCTGGTACTTCACTTTAGAAGAATGTAATTGGCAAAAATGGGAGGCTGATGAATAGATAATAGATCCTTAACTACCAATAAACAGTAAGCACCAGCCAAGAGTATTAGGATGTGATCATAATTATTCTGCAGCCCCAGCCAATGGGAGGAGGAGAACTCAGCCCTAAAATCATCCCCGGGCCCAAAGGTAAACGCGAAAATACGGACAAGGCTGGAACCGGAGACTTGCTCCCCTGTCCCGTCTGCGAGAACCCTGCGTGTCCCAGCTTTGCATAATGCAACCTCCCTCCGCTTTGTTTTCCGCACCGCGCGGTGCGGGGAGTGCGGAGGACAGGACGGGGGAGTAAGTAAGTTCCGAGGACGGCGCCCCGTTCTCCCACCGGGATAGAGCCTTTTCCAAGCGGGGCATCTTTCTCTCCCGGACTCCCTGGGGCTGACCAAGGTAACCTCGCCGGGCTGAGAGCCCCCGAGAGGTGGTAGGGACAGGGGTGTCACCCTGGCGGAGAGCCCCAAATCCCCATCTCAGCCCCCCGAGTGGAGATGCAGGACCCCGCGCACCGCCCCCCCCCCCCGTTTTTCCCCCGACCCCGTCGCCGTACCTTGGTCGCCGGGCGCGGAGGCTGAGCGAGGCGCGGGAGCGAGGCCGCGCTCCCCCCGCGCTGCCGGGCGCGCTCCCGCTGCACTCCGATCCGCGGCTCCATCCCTCCCGATGGCGCTGCCCGGCGCTCGCCTCCCCTCTGACGCACTTTAAAGAGTCTCCCCCTTCAACCTCAAGGCGAGTAATAGCGACCAATCATCAAGCCATTTACCAGGCTTCAGAGGAAGCTGTTTATGTGATCCCAGCACTAATTAGGCTCATGAACTAACAAATCGTTTGCACAACTTGTGAAGGGGCCGATCACATCCATGGATTGTCTTTGGACTTAGGGAGGGAGGCGGGGGGGGGGGGGGGGGGCGACCGCCTTTTCCTTGCAGGAGGGAAACTTCTCCCAGCAACTTTTCCCCCCCCCTTTTTTTTTCCCTCCCTGTGTGTGTGTGCGTGGTGCGTGTGTGTGTGTGTCTCCCTTTTGGGTACCGCTGGCTGCCGCTGCCTCCTTTTCCTCCAGCCCCTGTCTATTTATGTGTGTATCTATCCCTCCTCAAGTCACTGCCTGCTGCAAACTTCCCCGGATCGTCTCCCGCGCACCGGAGAGAGCCAGGCAGAGATTCGGCCGGGGACTCTCGCCGCGGCAGCATGTTTCAGCCCACACCCAAGCGGTGTTTCACCATCGAGTCGCTGGTGGCCAAAGACAGCCCCTTGCCCGCGTCTCGCTCCGAGGATCCTATCCGGCCGGCGGCGCTCAGCTATGCCAATTCCAGCCCGATGAACCCTTTTCTCAACGGCTTCCACTCCACTGGCAGGGGGGTTTACTCCAACCCGGACTTGGTCTTTGCAGAGGCCGTCTCCCACCCGCCCAACCCGGCCGTGCCGGTCCACCCCGTGCCCCCTCCCCACGCCCTGGCCGCCCATCCGCTGCCCGCTTCGCACTCCACGCACCCGCTCTTCGCCTCGCAGCAAAGGGACCCCTCTACCTTCTACCCCTGGCTAATACACCGCTACCGGTATCTGGGCCACAGGTTCCAAGGTACGTGCAACTTTTCTTCTCCCTCCCGGCCACCTTTCCATCCTCCGGCCGGTCCCCGAGGCGCGGCTGATGGGGGGAACCAGGGGTGGGGGGCAGCCGGTGCCCGGAGCCGTAGACTCGGCTCGGATGGGCCGAGGGGCTTTTGTTCCTGACCCCCCCGTCCCCGCCAAACTTGAGGAGCTGTCAGAGCCGGGGGTGGAGGAGGGGACACACACACACACACACATACACAAGCTTTGGCTCGGTTTTGCCGGGCGGCTTCTCCCGGTTGGAGCGGGGCAGGAGGGAAGGCAAGGCCGGCCGGGACCTCGGCGGCGTTCTCGCCCCGACTAAAAGCAGGGGGGAAAGGTGGATGTTTTGTGTTCCGCTGCGTTAACAGCTACGGAGGAGCCCTTCCAGAAGCCTCCCTGCAGGGATGGGAACAGAGGGGACGTTAGGTTCCTCCGGGAAGACGGCGGTTCCCGGGGCTGAGGGGAGCCGCAGCCGCCCCAAATCCGGCCGCTGCCCTTGCTAACGGGGACGGGGCAGAACTGAAACGAACCCCGGAGAAAGGAGAAAGAGGGAGGAAAATAATGGCAACGCTGGAGCAGCGTAGAGAGATGGGGCTGCGCGGAGAGCAGGGCTGGGGACAGAGAGCGATGCCGTCCGAAGGGGCAAGGGAGGGCTCCCGGCTTCCTAGCGATTAACAACCGGCTGGAGGAAAAGAACCGAATCCAATGGCGCACGATCAATAAAATCCCCCTTGTTTAACCCTTTGCAAACGGCAGCGCCTTCTCCGCAGGGTGAGCCGGTTTCTCCCGTAATGGGTCCGGCTCCTCTTTCGTTATACACACACTTTAAAAAATAACAATAGTAATAAAAATTCAACCGAGTTTCTAAGGGATGCATTTGCTTGTTTAAATAATAATAATTATTATTATTATTTTCCCGATATTTTAATTTTTATTAATTCCTAACGAAAACAAACCACCTGCGATATCCCTTTCCCGGCCTTCTGCTGCCGAGCCGTTGGACCCGGGCTGGGAAAGGAGTCCCTCTCTGTTTCCGAAGCCAGGCAGACAGGGATACAAAAAGGATTATTACCCTCTCAGAATAAAATTACAGGTTTCGCTCACCAAATTATTTGTCGCAGTCATCAGGCGATTGGTAAAGAGCGGTAGATGAAAGGCGGAAATGTCCTGGTGTTGAGCCACAGCCTGCTTTCAATCACACCCTCCTCCTCCAACGATTTTTAATGCACTTACGGAGAGAGACCCGCATTGCCTTTCCCACCTCTGAGGGACCGACACGGAGAAGCGGCACAGGGTCAACCCGGAGGGAGAGACCCACCAAAACCCCTTTGGTGACACCCCCCCACCTCGGGCCCGTTCCGCATTAGGCCGGTTGGGAGGGCGGCTCCGTGGCCTTCCCAAGTTTGTGCCTTTATTTCCCCTCCGGTTCCCTCCGGTGCAGCGGGAGTCCTCGCTCCGGGGAGCACACCCCGGCACAACGCAGGGGAGAGCGGGGGGAGAGGAAGGCCCTGGCCCGAGCTTTGGGAAAGGGAAGAAGGAGGAGGCCGGGAGCGGGCTGCGGGAGCTCGGAGCTCGGCCGGGGCTGCACCGGGCACCGGTGCCCCGCCGGGAGGATGTAAATAGCAAACAGGGGAAGGTGAGAGGCCAGGGAAGTCGGGCAGCTGCCGAGCGAAGCCGCAAACACCGCAGCCGGGCTCTGGCCAATTCTTTTCCTTGATTCTTTTCCCCCACACACCTTATTTCTGCCATGTTTGTGTTTTAGTATTTGAATTTCTTCCAGTCCTCTCCTTCCCGTGCTTATTCCCTTCACTTATTTATCGAAGGGAAATATAACAGCAAAAAGGCGCTGAAAATAATAACAAATAAACTATACTCAGTTTTCCCCTGCGAGTAATGGTGGGAGGCAAAAAATCCGATGCTCAAAACTCTTCTCGAGTGCGTTTGGAGAAGGTGTTTCGCTAATCTCTGTTTTACCCTGTTGCCCAGGGAATGAAACAAGCCCGGAGAGCTTCCTATTGCACAACGCACTGGCCAGGAAACCCAAACGGATCCGTACAGCTTTCTCCCCATCCCAATTACTGAGACTGGAACATGCCTTTGAGAAGAACCATTATGTAGTAGGAGCAGAGAGAAAACAGCTGGCACACAGCCTCAGCCTCACGGAAACTCAGGTAAGAGGGAAGCAGGGAGTGGGCAGTTGGGAAAGCGAAAGTACTGGGATCCTCTTGGGAAAACGCACCCGGTCGGCCTGGAGATGCGGGTAAAATTACGGGCAAATTTTGGGAGTGTTTAGGCCTCCAGCCCAGGGCCGGTGGAGCTCAGTGAGGGGTTTCCCTTTGCCTGGGTGTTGATAAATCCTCTCCCGTTTCTGAGAGCCACCGTCAGCACCGGTGGCTCTGCCGGGGGGGAGTGGAAGCGGCGATACCCCTGTCTCGGCCGTTGTCCCCCCGCGGGATCCCTCCGGAACGGGACCAGGAGCGACGGAACCTGCCATCTGCGTGAGAAAGGCGGTCCTGGTCCTTACCCTGCGGGATGCTGCGACCCTCAATAAGTAGTGGAATGCTAGGGGGGAAAAGCCCCTAAAACAAGAGGCGGACTGAGCCCCCCCTTTGGACCCTACGTCAGAAATGCAGTTTCTTGGTTGATTTTCACTCGTTTCTAGCCCCGCGTCCAGCGGCGGGGACATGAGGAGCCCGCTCAGGAGGGCATAAAGATGAAAAATATCATTATTAAGTATAAGGACTACACCACCCCCCCATTTTCTTCCTTGCCCGCCCCCCCCACCGCTGGCTGGCTGCGGGCCAGAACCACACCGGAGGCTATTTGGGTCGTCCATCTGCAGGGCCGATTAGCCACGTTTCTGCTCCGGGTGTCCCGGGGCGAGGGTCTCGGTGGGTTCCGAGGCCGAGCACCAGCAGTGAAGCTTCGGGAGCGGGGCTGAGCTCAGACTCCCCCCGACGGCAGGGACCCACGGTCGGTTTTCAAGCTGTTTTCTGCTCTCCGGAAGAAAGGCTGAGGTTTGGGGCGGAGGGGGGGGGGTGGGGGGGTGGTTGTTGTTGTTGTGTCGGGCTTTTGTTTTGTGCCCTTCCAGGAGAGAGGGCTCCAGATGGGGATTGTCTCTGCTACAGTATGTGGCACTGTACTTCAAATAACAAAAAAAGAGAGCCAAAATACCGAGCCGCAGCCTAGTTCAAAGTTCCCAGTAAACACAGCGTTCCTCGGGCGGATTAAGTTGTAACACTTTTTTTTCCTCCCTTTTTTTTTTCCCCCCCTCTCTCCTATTTTTTTTCCTTAAACTCCTTTTCGTGGGGGAAGCAATAAAGAGGTTGGAGCTTTTGTTTTAAAATGTCTCCCTAACAAAACAATAAAAAGGGATCGCCACTTTTATGAGGTTCTCCGAACAAGGGACCGGTCACAGGCTTATTTCTACTGGAAAGCTGTATTTAAGGTGGTCTTTGTACTGCTTGATTCCGAAGCTGGTTGGGGTCTTTTGTCCGGATGTCAAACCCCCAGTCCCCTACAAATGAGCTCCCTTTTGGGAGATCAACGTGCAGAAATGAACCGTCCTCCCCTTCAATTAGCAAACTAAAAGCAAATTAAACTCACCCCTTGTTCCCCGCTCAGCTTTTTAATGGGGGACTTTTGGAGAATATGAAAATGCAGCAGAGATGTGTGTCCGGCCAGGCAGGTCTCTGTTCTGAAGAGGCAGCGAAGCGGGTTAAACCAGCTTATTAAAATGCTCCAGTTCCCCTTTCCCCCCTTGCTGAGGCCTTTATCAGGCACTTTCAGACAGAACCAGAGTTTAAACTGCTTTAAAAAAAATTATGTTTACCTTTGGCCGCTACAAGGAGTGTGGCCAGCCCTGGAGATAGCTCCCAGATCAATACTATCTGTAATTAAAGCACTGAAGTCAGCTGCCGGATGGTTAAGTCAGATTTATTCCGCGCTGAACCATTTCAGAGGGCTATTTACGACGGAACTTACGCGTTTCGCCTTGCTACGATCGCTCCTGGACGGAGCGTCCCGGGGAGACGCTGCGGGGAGCACCCGGCGGTTTTCTTTTCGGGGGGGGTTTCTTCCATTTTATTCTCTTTTCCAAGACGAAAAGAGCTCGTCCCGCCCCAACCCGTCCCCATCCCGCTGCCCCGTTAGAAGGGAGGAGGCTCTCGTTCTCCTTTGACGGGCCGGTCGGGGGGATCCCACAGCCGGCCCGGCCTCCCCCCCGCCGCAGCCTCCGGTCGCTTTCCCAGTGCTGGAGGCCGCGGGACGCCTCAGCAGGCCCGGTAACAAGAGCCGCCCCGACGGCGCGGTGACAGCCTGCCTCCCTGCGCAGCTACGCTTTGTCTTCCCCTCGTGGGGTGCCTGGCGCCACTGCGCGGGGCTACTCATGCGCGGAGGATCCGCGTCCCTGCGCAAGGTGCACGCACGGTGCGGTGCGGCCGCGGAGAGCGGAGCCGCGCACACAGGCATCGGAGCGGCTGCTCATTCCGTCACGCGTGGGGAGTCTGAAGGTCTCTGGTGGGCATCACCAGTGTTGTCTGTGCCTCTCCCGGAGAGGTTTAGTGTCACCCAGGCCCTGGTCGTCCCCCTCCAGGCTGGGCAGCTATGCAGGCAGGGTATGGTGCAGGCAGGGCATGGTGCAGGCAGGGCACGGTGCAGGTAGGGCATGGTATTAACAGGGCACAGAGCACGCAGAGCCTGAAGTCCCTCGGCACGTCCAGGGCAGCGTCTGGTCAAGGCGTCGGATTAACTCCCGCTGCCTTTCCTCCCGCAGGTAAAAGTATGGTTTCAGAACAGACGGACAAAGTTCAAGCGGCAAAAGTTGGAAGAGGAAGGTTCAGACTCACAACAGAAGAAAAAAGGGACTCATCACATTAACCGGTGGAGAATCGCCACCAAACAAGCCAGTCCAGAGGAAATCGACGTCACGTCGGACGATTAAAAACTGGCACTTTTGGGACTTTTCAAAGCCAGCACCCCACCAACAGCAAGTGTTAACTGCTCACACTCCCCCCCTCCCTTGGCGTGGCAGTGCGGGGACGGGACTCGGAGATCTCCATCAAACCCGCGATCCCCGCCGGGGCGGGCGGCCGGGAGCGAGTGGGGTGAGGCAGCGGGAGGTGCGGGCCGAGGCCCCGCTCGGCACGGCGGGACCTGTCAATCCACCACCGGGACGAGGCGATTGACAGGTATTCCGTTTCTCGGAGTCCACTTTTGAAAGTATAAAGGTAAAAAAAATGTTGACAAAAAAAAAAAAAAAACCAAAAAACAAACCTTAAAAATACCCAAAACAAAGAAACAACAAAAAGAGCGAAACAAAAAATGATCCCCGAACCAGAACCAGAAAAATTACCACTTTACAGGACATTTTGCACTTCACAGGTTTTTTCCGTCTTTGAAAGAGAGATTTCCCTAAGCAGCCCAAACCCACACCTGTTTCAGAAACTTGAATTGCATGTGTAAAGCCGTCTGGGCGGATAAAAAAAGGCAAAAAAAAAAAAAAAAAAGGCAAAAAAGAAAAACGGAAAAAAAACCCCAACCCTGTTTCCTAAAGACAGAAATGAATTGTATTTTTTTCCCCTTTAAGACAGGTTCTGTGTGCTTTTTAATTTTATTTTACGAGAAATGTGCAGTCTGTAAACATTTTATGATAACTTCTGGCGTCAAAGTGTTTGTGAAAGCTAAAATGAAGTAGCAGTAACAAAGCATCGTGTTCCTTCCGGATGGACAAACACGGTGGGGCTGGGGAGGGACGGGAGGGAGCGAGGGGAGGGAGGGGGGGAGGTTGGGGCTGGTCATAACTTTTGCCAAAAATATAATTCCAATTAAATTATTCCCCCCCCCCCCCCTTCCCTGTGTATCCCCATTGCAAACCCGGATGGGAATTATTATTGCGGATTAATAAAGCGCAATCCCAGCCACCAGGTCTGGCTGTGGGGACATCTCCCGAGCAGGGAGGATGCAGAGAAAAGGGACTTCAAAATCGCGGATTGATTTTTTTAATTTGTTTTTAATTATTATTATTATATTTTTTCTTTTTTCTTTTTTTTTTTTTCTAATGGCCATTTTCACTGGGGCAATTTTCAAGCACTGACCTTATAATATTCCGAGATCCTAGAGCTACTAAAAGATAAGGCAAAGTGACAAATGTTTCCTTCATGTCTCCTATACCAGAATGTAAATATTTTTGTGTTTTGTGTTTAATTTGTTAGAATTCTAACACACTATATACTTCCAAGAAGTATGTCATTGTCAATATTTTGTCAATAAAGATTTATCAATATGCCCTATATTATTACATTTTTTAAGCAACCTATTTTAGCTTTGCCCGAAATTTCTCTGGAAACCCGTAGTTTCCCCTCCCCGCTTCCCACCTTGATTTTAGCCGCGGAACCCTGCAGTGGGAACCTGCGCTCCCGCGGCCGCTCCGCGCATTCCTGCGGCCATCGGCGCGTTTTCTTACTGCATTCACTGCCTTGTAAATAGAGATCTAAAAATGAGCCGCAAAGACCCGCTCGCTGTAAATAAATACCTTTAGAAAAGAGGAAAAAAGCCCAAACCCAACAGCAACAAACCCAGTCCCTTCCCCGGGTAGAAACTCAAGTGAGAACCGGCTTCTAATGGGAGGGTGATGCTAGTTCGCAGCAGCCGCGCTCCACTGAGGGCAAAAAGGGTTTTCCTTGGAAAAACATGGATTTTATTTAGTGGGAGAAAATTTTTTCCTCCCCCCCATCCCATTTTCCCAACATTTTTTTTTCTCCCCCTCCATTTTTTCTTTTTTCTTTTTTTTTCTTCTTATTTTTAATCTTTTTTTTCCCCCTCCTTTCTCCCTATCTTTTAAATCCCCTCGCCAGGTCGGTGCGGTGAGGAGCAGGTCCTACGAGGCAGGGATCCCAGTTGCTGCTTTCCCCACCGCTCCAAGGGAGCGATCCTGGGCACAGGGGTAAACGTGTGACATTAAAAACGTGCAAAAAAAAAAAAAAGAAAGGGGGGGAAAATAGGGGGAAAAAAGTTGCTCCGGGTCCTTGAGGAAACTAGCTGGTTTTCTGGGGGTACACAGTTGTTTTTTCATGCTTCATTTGCTCCTTAGCCTGATAGACTGCATTAATCAGTTTTATTTCCATTGATAGAGAAACCTCGTCTGCTCTGTTCGAGCTACAAAGAATCCTGCAAGCTTTTGTGAAAGTGCAAATCAGTTTAGGCAATTATCATACCAGGAATATGAAGGGGAAAGAGGAGGCATTGCCCAGTGGTCTCCTTTAATCTCTTAATCCGTGGATCCAGGGGGGCTAGTTGGACATAATTTAGGACAATCTGACTACCCTTTACACTGTGATAAGGCGAAGTTACAATGCATCGCGAAAATACGAGCTTTGTTAAACATCCTGCCTTGAAAAGTTAAGATTAGACATTCCGTGCACGTGGTGGCTCTACCGGGTACTATGTAAATTTATATTTTTTTTTATTTTAAATCCGATTTTATTTTATTTTTTTTTTAACATTGCTCCTCAAAAATCCTGGTGACTTTCCATTCACTGGTGCTACAAACACGAGAGAGGCCCAGGCAGGGTTAGGACGCACGTCGCAATGCAGTCCCTTCCGTTTAAACCTAGCCTAATTGTTTAGTAGGGCTATTCCCAAGGTAAACTTCTCCTTGCGTTTCTCCCTTCCTGGAGCAGCTGATGGGGCAGGTTTGGAAAGTCAAACAGGGCCCACATTTCACCTGAACTCGCCCAAATTGGCTTCCGCTCCGCTTCAATCCCTTGCAAATGGGCAAACATTAAACGGATCGCGGCTGAACAGCAGATTTGGGCCTTTCTAGAAATTGTTTCCCATCTTGATAAAAGGCTTATTTCTGCAGGAACCATATATTTCTCTCCTCCCTCTCCCTTCTTTTTTTAAACCGTGAGGGAAGAGAAGGGGAAAAAAATTAAGCGTCCTATGTAGCGTAACAGCAATAAAATCTTCAGAGAATGCCATTAGCTTTGAAAAAAAAAAAAAACCCTAAAAGCTTTATTACAAACCAAGCTTTGAAAATAGGGGGGATTAGGAGTCTGAAAGGGTCCCACAATGGTTAGAAGAAAAGGTTTCATGCTAATGAGGTTAATGCCCTTTGTATCTCAGGACTCCACAACTTCATTACTCCCTATCTCCGGCTGCACCAAGCGGCTCAGAACACTGCAATCCACTCCAGCTCTCCCCTGCCTTGCCTAGAGAAGGATTTGATAGCAGCTCTGTTCAAACTAGATAATTATATCTTTTCAAGTCGGAATTAAGATAAAGAAAGTGAAGCAAAGGCGGCTAGCCTTGATCCACTGCAAACAAATTTGGCGCACTTTCTAGTCTCTCTCCCCCTGCCTCAATAGGCAGGACAGTCAGCTTATTAGACCCTCATTTGCTTTATTAATTCATCTATTTAAAGTGGCAGGATTAGAGCGAGGGGGAGAGAGGCAGAGTCTAATGTGGGACAGTGGATGCCAGGCAACGTGGAAATATAAATATTGGCGAGATGCTATCCGAGCGGGTGTTTAAAAATACATTTTATATTAAATAACCGGAGGGGAGGGGGAGGGAAGGAAGGGGTATTTCGGATTTTTACTGCTCTTTCGAAGGAAATCTCCGTGCCGGCTGCCGGGGGCCCGCTTGTCCCCGCGGAGAACGGCCGGCCCCGCGGAAAGCCCGCTGCAATCCGCGCCTCGACGGGGTTGCAGGCTGAGCGCAGACACTCCCCACTCCAGCCAGCCCAGGGGTGCGCTGGCGAGTGAGCGCAAATCGGCCGGGCTGGTTTTGCGCCGTCTCCCTCGTCCATCACTTCAATCTGCCTATAGAGCAAGGGCGGCGCAAGCCCCCGCCCGCCCCGTCTCGCCTCTCCCCGGCCTCTTCACTTGTGTCACCGCCCGGCCGCGGTCCCGGGGGCTCCCGTCGATGGGGAGACCCCGTCGAGGCCTCCCCGACCCCGCCGCTGGCGAGGCAAGAGGCAGAAGGGCCGGATCCGGACTCGCTACACGACACCCGGCTCAGCTCCGCGCCCGGTATCTGGCCCCTCCGTCCTTGGATTCTTAACCCTTTCCCTTCGAACCGAGCCGCGGCTCCCAGCTCCTCCGTGGCCACTTCCTCCTATTGCCTACGAGCGGTTTGCGGGGGGGGGCCCCCCCCCCCCGTTTGCCACTGGACCAGGGAGAAGCCCTTAGAGTCCTCGCTTTGTTGTGTTTTGAAGTGCTGTTTATTTACCTCCCTTCCCCATTGATGGATGGCGCTGTTACTGATGAGGCTTGGCGGAAATTAGCGGTCCCCCCCTAATTAGCACCCCTACCTATCTGCTTGCCTTATAGGAAATAGGCAAAGCAACTCCGGTCAGGCCGGATTCCCTGATAAACAGGATTCCTCCGGCCCCTTTCTCCCGTGTCTGTAACTGCTCGGAGCTAATACAGCGATTGATTTACTTCTCCAAAGGGTCCCGCTGCGAGGGGAAAGCGGGAGTTTAGAGAACCTCCTGACCCCGAGCCGTAACCTCTCTCCTCGCCATCCCTTCTCCTGGTGGGACACTCGCGGCCGGGGAAGCCCGGGCCGTGGTCCACGCTTGAAAGCGAATGGGCATTAATCACCTTCCCTCGCTTGCTTTTAATTGGCCTTTTGCAATTAGCGCCTGTTGCAGGGATGGCGACCTGTGGGCTGGAAGCAAACCCCGCCGATAGCCCCCTTGGTTCCACTTCCCGGGGGGATGAGGGGGCTGTAGCCACCCCCAGCTCCGTGGGTCCCCCCGAAAGGATCGGGGGAAGCGGCTGCTGCAGGTTTATCCCGCCTTACAGGTGCCTTCCCCGTCCTGGGCAATGAGGGAGCCTCTTCTTCCTTCTCTTCCTCCCACTCTTCCTCCTTCTCCTGCTCGCCGTGGGCCGCCTGGCCCTGCTGCCTCGGGCCCTACATCTCCCCCACCAGAGCCCTTGGCTGCTGTGGGGGCTTTCGGCGAGCATTTATAGACCCGCTCGCCATCGGCCACGGCTGGACCTGACGTCAGGAAGAACTTGATCTCTCCCGCTTTGCTCCTGCTTCTGAAACTGATCCTTGAAATGAGAGAACAGACTCTACACAATTCCCATGGCCTTGACATAAGGTGCAGCGATAAATATACACCACTAATGAGCAATTACCATATAATCACCTTCCAATTAGCTCGCATAATGATGAATTAAACATTCTAGCCTGCTGGATTAGGTTTCTTACTTTGTATATTATTTACGAAGGCTAGCTTCTGCTGAGCACCAAATATCAAATTAGATAGGGA